GTTTTAACCCCAAAATTATTAGAATTGTATAATGGAATAATGAAGGGAGATAAAATACCCGAATCATGGAGGAGATCATTAATAATATTAATACCTAAACCGATAAAGACTTAACAGACCCAGGGTCATATAGGCCCATATCATTAATTAATCAGGATGCAAAGATATTGTCCGCGATAATAGCCAATAGAATGAATAAATGTATGTATAAGTACATAAAAGAAGATCAGTGTGGGTTTGTAAAAGGAAGACAAATGTCAAATTTGATAGGGAGAGTACTAAATAAAATTCATTGGGCTAAAGAGGGGAAGGGAAAAGCAGGGATATTATCATTAGATATTTTTAAAGCGTTCGATTGTGTGGAATGGGAGACATTAAGGGAAATATTGAATAAATTTGGAATGGGAAATAGAATAAAAGGAGTACTAAAACAATTTTACTCAAGGAACTCAGCAGTGGTAACTATAAATGATGGAGTGACAAACGAAATAAAAGTGACTAGAGGAACCAGACAAGGGTGCCCTTTGTCTCCGATACTATTTGCTATGGTGATAGAATTGTTTGCTAATAACATAAGGAACAATAAAAATTTAGAAGGGTTAGGAAAAAAGGAGAAACAGAAGGTGAGCTTATTTGCTGACGATACATTGTTATTTATAGAAAATATAGTGGAGAAAATGGATAGAATAAAAGAACATTTGGAGATATTTGGGAAAGCAACAGGTTTACAAGTCAATTGGAACAAGTCAGAAATGATGCTACTTAATTATACAAGAGAAGAAGAAAAAGATTTTATAGAACAGAGAAAAATGGGAATAAGAATTAAGAATAAATTAAAATACTTGGGAGTAATAATAACTAAGGATTTAAAAGAGATAGAGGAAGTAAATGTAGTAACTTTAAGAAAAGAAGTTCAGAAAAAGTTAATAGAGTACGAAGGTATACGCTTATCCTGGTTTGGAAGAATAGCATTAGTAAAAATGAAAATACTTCCAAAAATAAATTTCATATTTAGGATGCTACCACTTCAAATTACAGAAGAAGAACTAACTAGATGGCAACAAATGATTAATAAGTACTGTAATGGAAGTAAAAAGAACAGACTAAATAAACAATTATGGTATAGATCGCAAAAGGAGGGTGGACTGGCGTTACCTATTAAAAAATATTATGAAGCAAGTAGATTAAGTCTGGTTATAGAAGGAATGGTTAAAAAAGAGGGAATAGATTGGCTTAGTAATGATTCAGGAAAAGTGGAAGATGAAATTTGGAATATATTTTTTAAACAGTTTACTAGAAAAGAAATGAGGGAAATTAGAAACCCAATGCTGAGCAACATACTGAAAGTATGGAATAAATATAAGGGGAGGTTAATAAAGGAGGGATCAATTATAACCCCAATAGTGATGGAAAAGAAGTTCCCAAAAAATTTAAAAAGTAATGGATAAAAAGGTAAGGGAAATAAATTTAGATAGGATAGGGGATTGGATGAAGGTGGAAATGAAGAGGGAAATGATGTTGGAAGAGTTTAAAGAAATAAAATTGTCATGGTTTCATTGTATACAATTAGAACAATGGTTAATAAACTGGGAAAAAAAATAGAAATGGAAGCCAACTCAATCAATTCGAACAAATAATACAGAAGGGAAGGGCTGTAGAAGAACATGAAAACTTGAGAGGTATAATTAGCAAAATCTATAAGATACTAATTGAAATGAAGGATGAAAAAATAAAAAAGTGTACCCTTAAGGAGATTTGGGAAGAGGATTTAGGGATAAAAATAAGTGAAATAGAGTGGCGACAACTATGGGGACAAAGACATTTAAAAAATTTATCGATACGAGTTAAAGAAAATTATTACAAGTTAATATGGAAGTGGTACTTAACACCGGTAAGAATAGCATATATGAATAAAAATAACTCAATAAATTGTTGGAGAGGGTGTCAAGAACCAGGAACATATATACACATGTGGTGGCAATGTAAATATGTAAATAATTTTTGGGAGAAAGTATTTAGAGAAATAGAAATTATAATGAATATGAAAATAGATAAAAGTCCTAGTATAGCCTTACTATCATTATATAACAATAAGCAATTGAAAAAGGAGGATAAAGAAGTGATAACAAACTTATTAACTATAGCAAGACTGCTCATAGCAAGGAATTGGAAAAAAGAAATGAATATACAAATAGAGGAGTGGTATAAGGAAGCATGGAAAATAGCAATAAATGATAAATTGACATGTATATTAAAGGTTAAAAAAGGTATATGGAAACAAAGCGATTTTGATGCTGTATGGGGAAGATTTGTGGTAAATGGATTAAAAAATAAGGAAGGAAAATTACCGTCACAAGAAGAAATGAAATTTTGGACAGATGAAATGTAAGAATGGTGGCTTGAGACGGGTGGAGGGGAGCACTGTGGTGAAAAAAGGAAAAAAAGAGAAAAGGGGGGGAAATGTCAAAGCAAAACAACTAAACAACATGTTAAAGAGGCTGATGTAGCAATAGTATGTAATAAATGTGATAAATCAATAAAAATATTACTACACAGAGAAGCCATTGAAATCCACAAGCATGTGGGCAATTTCAACAGAAAGGAGGAAACCATGAAAATGAACAAAATCTGGCTACCAGTATTAAAAAATCTAAAATTACAACAGCAAAACAACAGAGAGGAAACAAACGGACATCTTAACACCTCTCAACAAAAGATTTTCCCAGGCTCAGCCAGGCCTTCAAATGCTAATGAAGGTGGTCAGTTGAAACATTCACACCTAGCTCCAGCAGAGAAAAGCTCTTTGCCCCACCCCAGCCATTCCACAGATATATAAACCCATTGTCCTATTTCCAACAGACCTCACTACCTCTGAGGATGCTTGCCATAGATGCAGGCGAAACGTCAGGAGAAATGCCTCTAGAACATGGTCCTATAGCCCGAAAAAACCCACAAGAACCTAGTGATTCCAGCCATGAAAGCCTTCGACAATACATTGTACACGAATACTCAATATCCCCAAATGTGAACACTGGTGGAGTTTGGGGAGAATAAAATATTGACATTTGGGAGTTGTAGTTGCTGGGATTCGTAGTTCACCTACAATCAAAGAGCATTCTGAACCCCAACAATGATAGAATTGGGCCAAACCTCCCACACAGAACCTGCATGTGGGCCACAGCAACGCATGGCAGGGGGCGGCTAGTATTATATATAATACTACACACATATATAATGTAATATGTTGTACTATATATATGTATATTGTAATACATATAATATACATTACATATATAATAATATTAATATTGTGTGTGTGTGTGTGTAAGTATAATATCACCTTGGTGCTTCAGACTCCAGGGAGCTGAGTTCGAATCCCTGATCCCCAACTCTGTCATAGAAGCCCATTGAACGTCCTTGAGAGAGTCACACTCTCTCAGCCTCGGAGTGGAGTGGGCTAGAATAGGCTCTGTCTTGGCTCCATGCTAAGAGGGTCCTGCCGCCTCCTCTGCGCCTCGTCCAACTAGAACTCCCAGGACTCCACCACACTGAGCCAGAGCAGCTAAAAAAGCGGCGTCAAACTGCCTTGATTCTACATTTGAAAGGTTATAGCAACCCACCCATTTGAAATGCCGACGCCGGGCCTCGAACTCGGAACTCCCGAGGCTGCGCTTCTGTACCTCTGCCATTGCTCCGCCTTCTTCTTCCACGTGCGTCCCGCCCCTTTATCGAGGAAGGGAAGCAAGGCGGGAGAGCGCCGCCACGCCGAAGCTTCTGATTGGCTCGCCTGGCCGCCCGCCGTAGGCCAATCAGCGGCGCCGCCGTCAACGATCCGAGCCAGAGTGTGTGGCCAGGCACGCGTGGGCGGTGCTGGCAGGCTCTGATTGGCTCAGCCCCAGTACCGGGACCGGAAGTTGCTTCGGAACCGTGCAGAACCTTTCAATATAGCAGCAGCGGTGGTGCGGAGATGCGGCGCGGGTTGGGCGCTGGCTTTTGCCGGCTGCTGCTCCTGCTGCTCTTCGCCGGAGGCTCGAGCCGGGCGTCAGAAGCGGAGGCGGGCGCTGTCACTTGCGGCTCGGTGCTGAAGCTGCTCAACACGCGGCACAACGTCCGGCTCCACTCGCACGAGGTCAAGTACGGATCCGGTGAGGAGCGGAGAGACAAAGTGGCTCTACCAACACCCGCAGCCCAAAGATTCCAGTCAAAGGCTCCTAGCCCCTCAGAAGCTTTTGGACTTCATCTCCCGGCATGCCTCACCGCTGACCCAGGTGGCGGGGCTTATGGGAGTGGAAGTCCCAAAGCCCTAGAGGGCCCCAGAGGCCGAGAATGGCTGCCAAATGCACACAACTTAATCAAATCCCACATTATCTGCTTTGAACTGGGTTATATGGAAACGTGGACTCAGAAAACCCAGTTCAAAGCGGATATTGTGGATTATCTGCCTTGATATTCTGGGTTATATGGCTGTGTGGAAGGGCCCTAAGGTCCTTGCCACACAGCTGTATAAAATCCACATTGAACTGGATTATCTGGCAGTGTGGACTCAACACAGATTTTTTGGATTATCTCCCTTGATATTCTGGGTTATATGGCTGTGTGGACAGGACCCTGGGTTTTCTGAGCGCCTATCCACACAGTACCTTTATCCCAGGAGCTCCCGGTTCAAAATCGTGGGTGGCCAAACGACGACCCCTGAAGACACAGGGAAAAAATGCTACAAAGCACTAAAAACGTTGTGGGAATATCCCAGTTCTGGCTGGAAAATGTGGATATTCGAATCTCTGTGGGCCCTTCCACACAGCTATATCACCCAGAACATTGAGGTAGAAAAACCCATAATATCTGCTTTGAATTGGAATATCTGAGTCCTCACTGCCATATATCCAGTTCAAAGCGGATAATGTGGGATTTTCTTCAGCTGTGTGGAAGGGACCTATATGTCCCTACACTCAGAAAATACAGGATTTTTATGTTGGTTTATTCCCATACATGGTTTGTTCCACATACATGTCAGTTCCTGATTGGTTTTATCCGAAGAACATGGCAACAATTGACTAGAGCGCAAAAACTATATCCTGGCAAGAGAAACTTTGTCCTCCACACGTTTAATGAAGTTTGTGACACAGAAACAAAAGTTTTGCTGTGTGATCAACTTCCCCCATGTTTTATGATAAAAGCAATGAGGAACAGAGACATGTATAACCCAGGAACATCACCCAGTTGTTTCCAGGCACAAGTACATGACAAAACCTGTCTGGACAGATGGCCATGCGGCCTCTGAATTACAATAATGATGAAGTACTGTTCCTGGCTTGAAAGTGTGAGTTCCTGTTTAATAGTCTTGTCCTGACTTTGAAAGTAGTGGTCCTCCTCCACAAACTTTGTGTGCCACAAACTTAATTAAAGGTGTGGAGGATGAAGTTTCTCTAGCCAGGATGAAGTTTTCACCCTCTAGTCAGAATTCATAATCTTTTCAGGAAAAAAGCAATGAGGAACAGATATGTTTGACCCAGGAACAAAACTCATACAAATGATGCGCATATTTATATGCATCTATACATTTCAAAGGTTTTTTTTTAAAAAACGCCAACATTTCTGGTGGATGTCCCGCAGCGGCCATCTTGCGGGCTTCAAAATCCTGGAACAAAGTTGTTAGTGTGGATGACAGAGGCACAAATCTTGGGACTAACAGGTCTGTGTGGTGACCTCTTCTCCGGACCCAGGTTTTTTGTCCTACCTATTAAACCCGCAATTTGGTGCTGTCTGGAAGCACCCTGAGTCCACACTGCCATATATCCCAGTTCAAAGCAGATAATGTGAGATTTTATACTGCTGTGTTGAAGGGGCCACAGTTCAAAGCACATTTTGTGCATTATCTGCTTTCATATTCTGTGTTATATTGCTGTGTGAAGGGGCCCTCAGCAGGTTAGGACCTTGATGCAAAATCACCAAGGAAGCCCAGGCACCACATATACCGCCATGTCAAAATTGGTATTATTTGTATACGAGTCCACACTGCCATGTAATCCAGTTCCAGGATGATAACACTGTGTAATGAAATTTCAGGGAAAAAGTTCTGTTCCTGGTCTAAATGTGTTATTTCCTGTTTAATTGTGCGGTCCTGACTTTGAAAGTCATTGTACTACTCCAGAAACTTCATTTTTGTGGCTGCCACAAACTAGGGGCCCTTCCACACAGCCCTATATCCTGGAATATCAAGACAGAAAATCCCACAATATCAGCTTTGAACTGGGTTATCTGAGTCCACATTGCCATATAATCCAGTTCAATGTAGATTTTAAACTGTGTGTGGAAAGTGCATAGTGTAATCTGGATTTTATATGGCAGTGTAGATGAGGAATGGAGGAACGTCATGACCAAACCACCAAAGGGAAAAACTTGTGAAATTCATGAAACTGCCCAAAGTCAATGGGCCACTTGAAGGTGTAGAGTGCATCCCATCTTAATACCTGCCTGAATGCATTCGATTTTTGTCTGATCTTGGAAGCTAAGCAGGGTCAGCATGGATGGGAGATCCAGATTATTCTAGGTGCTGTGGGCTGTGCTTCAGAGGAAGCCCTCAGCCGAACCACCAATGGAAAAACCCTATCACATTAATGGGGTTGCCCGAAGTCAGCAGGCAGCTTGAAGGCACAGGGGTGGGCACATGGGAGATTCTGTTTTAATGGTTTTGTTTCCTCTTTTGCTGACTATGTTTGTAGGTAGCGGACAACAGTCAGTGACTGGAGTCGAAGCTTCTGATGATGCAAACAGCTATTGGCGGATCCGGGGCAAAACCGAGGGGTCCTGCCAGCGAGGGATGCCAGTGAAGTGCGGACAAGCCGTGCGCCTCACGCATGTCAACACAGGGAAGAATCTGCACACCCACCACTTCTCTTCACCGCTCTCCAACAATCAGGTCAGAACCAGATTCTCCCATTACACTATGTAACATATTTTTTTAAAAAAATGTTCTTGGTTTAAAAGTGTTATTTCCTATTTAATTGTGCAGTACTTACTGTGAAAGTAGTTGTTCTATTCCAGAAATTTTGTTTTTGTGGCTGCCACAAACTAGGTTGAATTGACTGAGACTCAATGACATACTCATTGAAAAAACTATAGCAAAATGTGCTGCAGAATGTCCTGCAAAAACAAAGTTAATAAACAAAAATAAACTGTGCATTTTTTATGATAGAGCCAATTAGAAAATGACATTTATAAACCAGGATCAAAATCATGTTATGTAGTGTTACGTTCCATATTTCTTGTATGTGTAGACCAGGATTGCACAACTTGGTGATATGAAGGGGCTGAAATTAAAATAGGCTAAACTTCTTGGGGCTGTAGATAGGGTTTGGGTTTGGGAGAGGGCACCTTTCCTTCAGAGGAAGCAGCAAAGTCTTGATTTCCCTCCTGGTGGTGAGTAGCAGTCGAACCGAACGGAGGCCCTTCTTCTTTACCATCTCCTCCCTCTAAAAATGGCTAGTTGCATTTACTGTTCTGATTCTAGAGTTTTTTAATACTGGTAACCAGATTTTGTTCATTTTCATGGTTTGCTCCTTTCTGTTTAAATTGTCCACATACTTGTGGGTTTCAGTGGCTTCTCTGTGTAGTGTGACATGGTTGTTATTGGTCCAGCGTTTCTGTGTTCTCCAATAATATGCTGTGTCCATCTTGGTTCATCAGGTGCTCTGCTATGGCTGACTTCTCTGGTTGAAGTACTCTGCAATGCCTTTCATGTTCCTTGATTTGTGTTTGGGCAATGCTGGGTTTGGTGGTCCCTATGTAGAACTCCTGCAGAGGTGAGAGGACCCCTCTTGTCCTACCAGTATTTTTTTTAAAAAACTCTAAAATCAGGACAGTAAATAAAGAACAACACTAAAAAAACCGGAGAACGCCAGACCGGAATAAATCAGGGTCAGCTAAAACCTCTTAACAAAGGATTGCCCCAGGCAGGAAGCAGCCAGGCTTTGAAGCTGCAAGGCCATTCAATGCTAATCAAGGTGACCAATTACAACATTCACACTTGCCTCAAACAGACAAGAATTCTTTCTCCCACCCTAGACATTATTCCACAGATATATAAACCTCACTTGCCAAGATTCCAACAGACCTCACAACTTCTGTGGAGGCCTGCCATAAATGTGGGTGAAACATCAGGAGAGAATGCTTCTGGAACATGGCCATATAGTCTGGAAAACTCACAACAACCCAGTGATTCTGGCCATGAAAGCCTTCGACAACACTTTCCCAACCTATGTTTCCTACTGAGATCAGAATTCCAGCATCCTGACTTGATCTATCGGTGGTGTCCACTTTGTCACAGGCAAGTTTGGTAGCTTTGATGCACACAGAAGGAAGCGTGCAGAGATAAACACTTTCATCTTAAATCCTCCAAAATCTCAAGCCTTGTGAAGGCCACATCCAGCCCCCTAGGCCGCAAGTGTTACAGGCCTGATGTAATCCAAGGCAAATGTAGTTAGTGCTTATTTTGGTTCAAAGCAGCTTTTACTTTTTGAGAGTAAATCATTTTTATTCAAACATATAACATACATATAACAACAACAACAAATACAGACTTACTAAACAGGGAAAGAAAAAAGAACATAGTTAAGAATACAAAGAAGAAACAAAAACCACTACCATAAAAAGCCAGAAAGAAGAATGCTTTTCCATTATATGTAAAGCTAAAGCACAACAGCCAAAAAACACGTAAGTTATTAAAATATTACATTTATACTTTGATCACACCAGGTATGCAGTCCACTTCCAGGCTTGTTGGCTCAGATTTAAATTATCGAGTTGTGCTATTTAGTAAGTGTGGTGAGGACTTCAGCTACACTACAATATTTTTTCTTAACTGAGACAGGTATACGATAGTGTTGAAAAGTGAAAAATCCTTTTGAAATACTCTGAACTGATGGTTTCTGTAACATGGGTTGCATTGATACAGAGTCCCACATCCAGACGATGTAGCGGATGTTCACTGTCGTACAATAGAACGCAACTTTGTAATCTGCATTTTTGAAACATTTGCTGGAAAGCAGTAGTTGCCTTGGAATAAGAAGGGAATGTGAATGGCAACTCTGTCATTCTGGAATAAGGATCCTACATGACTCTAGCTCATGTAAAATAATAATAATAAACACATAGAATCATTTAGTGCTCTTAAAGGCCTAAATGTTGACTCCTGACTAAAGTAGAGCCACTTAATCAGTCACCATGTAGGTAAAATGAGATCACTGTTCTAGTTAGGAGGAACAATTGAATTTAGGCCAGAAGTGAAAATCATGATGATATTAAGCTGTAAAGTCTAAGACTTTTTCATCATTTGCATTGCTGGCTAGGAGGACAGGGCTGTGCCATTTGCACTCCCCAATACTTTAGGGTTAATGTATTGTCGAAGGCTTTCATGGCTGGAATCACTGGGTTGTTGTAGGTTTTTCCGGGCTATATGGCCATGTTCTGGAGGCATTTTCTTCCAATCTGATGAACCAACCTGGACACAGCATATTATTTGAGAACACAGAAACGCTGGACCACTCTCACAACCACCATGTCAGACTACACAGAGAAGCCATTGAAATCCACAAGCATGTGGACAATTTCAACAGAAAGGAAGAAACCATGAAAATGAACAAAATCTGGCTACCAGTATTAAAAAACTCAAAAATTACAACAGCAAAACAACAGAGAGTAAACAATCAGGCACATCAAATCACCTCTCAACAAAAGATTCCCCCAGGCACTTCCAAGCCATTAAATGCTAATCAAGGTGATCAGTTGAAACATTCACACCTAGCTCCAGCAGACAAAAGTCCTTTGTCTCACCCTGGTCATTCCACAGATATATAAACCCATTTTTCCTACTTCCAACAGACCTCACTACCTCTGAGGATGCTTGCCATAGATGCAGGCGAAACGTCAGGAGAAAATGCCTCTAGAACATGGCCATATAGCCCGAAAAACCTACAACAACCCACTTTAGGGTTAATTGGCAGATTGGGGGTGGTTTGTGGCAAAGTTCTAGGAAACTATCCACATATGATAACAACATGGCACACATGTGGTGCCCAGCACATTGAAAGAGATATTACTACTCTGCCACATCAGATAACCCAAGAAGCGCTGCTTTTGGATATGTAAATATTACTCTGTGGTAAATGGGAGCTTATCAAAGTGTACCCAGTCAGCTTGAGGCTTTTAATCCATTCACCATTCCAGTCTGTTTCTGTGAGTTGGGGTTTAGTATTGTGAGCTGATGTTGAGTTAATGCAATTTGACATCACCTTTAGCTGTTGTGGCTCAATGCTATGGAATCCAGGGAGATTGTTTGCTGAGACACCAGCCCTCTTTGCGCAGCTCCCAGGATGCTATAGCGTAGAACAAAGTGGGATCAAACTGCATTCATTCTACAGCATAAATGCACCCTTAGAAATGGAAAAGTAACTTTTGTAGGTACAGTTTTCAGGTCTCTAAGCTAGTGCATGATCACGATCACATTAACATACAGGTTGAGCATCCCTTTTCAGGAAATATGAAATACTTCAAAATCTACAGTATAGGTGTCCGGGAGAGTGACGTGTTTACTTTCTGATGGTTCAATATACACAAGACTTTACTTTGTGCATGTAATAATGCTGTGTATAAAATCACCTTATATGTGAAACGCCAGTGAATTTTGTATTTTTTTAATTCTTATTTAGTACATAATAACAATCTGTGAATAGGTAACAGACAGCTATTGCATATACACATTATATATAATTGAGCATTATTATGTTATCTATTCATCTCTTTAGAAAGCTATTATTCTTTTCACTTTTTTCCTCTTTTTCCCGCTCTGCACCCCCCCACCCCATACTCCTAAAACATTTTCTTCTATATCTTTATCTTTAACGATGAATGCAATTTTCTTAATCTTTGTACTGTATTTGTGTTGGCTTCACCACTTTCTATCAATTCCACATTGATCAACCGTTTCTCTTTAATTCCTTCTGTTTTGTCCTGCTGCACGTCATCTCGAGTTATCGGTGCTGTAATGTCCAATTGTACTTGATCAAACATAATTATTCCACTTTTCCATATTCAATTTTTTATCTTTCCGTCCCCATGCTATTACCACCTTGCCTGCTAAAATCATTGCTCTAAATAAATCTTGGGGGGTGGGGTTGCATTTATCTTATTGTTCCCAAGTATTCCCATTAACATAAGGTACATATTTACTTGAATTGATGTTTTAAAAATGTCTCAATTTTCTTTATTATTTTCCCCCCAGAAAATTATTGTTTTGTCCAATTTCATATTTAGACTTGGCTGTCATCTTTTAATAAATGTATTATGTACATATATGCAAAAAAAATTCCAAAACACTTTTGGTCCCTAGCATTTTAGCTAAGAGGAATTCAACCTGTATCCCTTTAGGCATTTTCCTGAATTGGTCTCTCAGCTGATGTTCACACTTAAAGCAATTTTTCCCCTTTCCTCTTGGTTGTAACAGGAAGTCAGCGCCTTTGGCGATGATGGTGAAGGCGATGACTTAGACGTATGGGTGGTCCAGTGCGGCAGGGTGTACTGGGAGAGGGACGATGCTGTACGCTTCAAGCACATAGGGACCGATGTCTTCCTTTCCGTCACCGGCGAACAGTACGGCCACCCCATCCGGGGCCAACGGGAGGTCCATGGCATGCACTCCCCGAACAACCACAACTACTGGAAGGCGATGGAAGGGGTGTTCATCAAGCCTAGCTTGGACTCTACGAAGCACGACGAGCTCTAGAGACAAGCAAGGCACTTGAGGTGGAAACCTCTTGACCAAAGTGTGTGAGCCGGTCCCATTCTGTAAATAGCAAACCTGAATCACCAACACCTTAAAGGGACGGAGATTGATTTGGAGGGCAACTTTGTCAGGGGCAATTGGCCAGATCTCAGGCAGACAGTTTGGCTCCCTTCCATTTTTGGAAGCCGCTTCCTTTCTTTTCTCTTTCAGGTTTTTTTAAGAGAAGGGGAAATTGCAAATCACCATGTAAACAACCTGATCCAAAGTGCAATAAAAAAACTTATGTACATTTTTAAGGGAAATCATGAACAACGCTTGAAGCAATGGAGGAGCGTGTTGTAGTCTGAAACTTGAAAATCTGGGGCTTTGTAGATAAAACTCATCTGTAACTTACTTTTTAAAGTGCCTGCCGCCCACAATAATTTGCTCTTAGCATTTGCATCTCATGGGAGAAATGTAGGTTTTACGTATTTTAAAATAAAAACCACTGTAAATGTAACATGTTGGTAGTAAGAAGGAGATTTGCTACGTTCATTTTGCCGCAAATAGAAGCATGGTCTCATATGGTTCATCATTCATACACTTCATTCTACAGTGGGCAGCGACTTCTGCAAATTGGATTAATCACAAATTTTATTACAAACATTCTCTTTAAGAATCCCTATGTCCACCTATGAGAAATTTATCACAAAGTGATTCTAGGGAATTCTTGATCCTCTGGTGTGATTCTTTTGTCAAATCTTGTTGGAATATGACTATAGAGTTGTGCTGGTGGATTGAGATTCCTAGAGAGGTTTTCTCAGGTTTAAAAATATTTTATTTGTTTTTTTCCCATTTTGACGGGGGTCTTGTCCTGCTCAGCGCCAGCAAACATGGAGGGCTACAGCAGTTTCATTATTATGTGCAACTATTTATTTTTCTCTTTTGTACACATATACTAAAAAGAATGTGTAAAGTACAGGGAATGTTTACCTATGCTCCTGGCATGTACACCTTTCTGGGGGCTAGAATCCAAACAAGGCCTATAATGTGAACAGATAAACTTCTGTGTCTCATAAGCCAGGTCCTGACATTCTTTACAACTCTCGAAATATTATTGTCAATGCCGGCATGTTTCCTTCTTCATCTCCCTCTGAAGAAGGTTCTTGATGGTGAAATGGCGCTCCTCTGTCCACAGCAAAATCCGCAGCTTCGGCCCCAGACGGGAGCCCATTCAACAGCTGGATGGCGGCGGTCTTTCCAACGGCAGCCGCATGTCTCGCTTGGCGTCTGCTTTACAGGTCTGGCGTATTTGCTGAGGTTTCTCTGGTCTGGTTCCTTGCCAGCAGCAGCGGCCTTCGCCAGCAAAGCATGTGGGAAGGTTCCCTGGCTTGCGCTCTTGTAAAAGCCTTGGCTAATTTGCCCTGGAATCAGCCAAGCGTTTTACAAGAGACTTGGAAAATGCAATTTTGTAGCTCTTCTCGTGCTGAACCAGACTACACATCCCAGCATTCCATAATCAATTACTATGAAATCATAGCACTATAATTTTTAATATAATAGGACCCCACATCTTCAGCCATTCCTCAAGGAACTAACAGCATAATCCCCTATATTGGTATTTGTGCATCTGTCAATGCTTTGGGAATCCTGCTCTACAACAAAGCCCTTTCATTCTGCTTTCAAGGCTATACAGATCAGTCACTCGAAGCCAAATGTCTACTTACTACTGACCAATTTGGGGCGAATGTGAAATTGGAAGATAAGCAAGGTCATCCCTGATTGATAATTGGATGGGGCACCACTAAGGAATGCCAGGTGATGCAAGCTCTTTTTCAGAGAAAGGAACAGGCAAATCCATCCCAAAGGAGTGCTAGCCTAGAAAATCCTATGAAATTAATGGGGTCACCCCAAGTCCATAGGTGAGTCAAAAGCACATAAGAGATGTTTCATGTCATTTCTCACTCTGGTCACTAGTTGGCACTGTTCTATTTGTTTTATGGACCATTTGTGCAGCTACTTTGTGTAAGTCACCTGCAGACTTGTGGAGAACATGACTTTTGTAGGGTTTTTCTTAGGGAAAGAGTATCAGGAGGGGGTTTTGACTGTTTCTTCCTCTGAAACAGAGCCTCCGACAGCTAGCATTTCTTGGAATTCTGCCATCCAAGTACAAACTAGAGCTGAACGTCCAAGACCAGCATGAACCTGGGACCTTTAGGGCACTGAGGACTGTGGGTAGAGCACATCATTGCCTATCTATAAATTATTACAAATGTTTTTATGTGCAGAACAATGCTTTGTTTGGGGACATTTGGATTTCGGCAGGTCATCTGTGCCTTTATACTCCAACCTCGTTGTAGCCTTTATTTCCTATGCCTTAGGCTCTTGGAATACTTCTGGCAGCCTCTCTTCTCTCGCTTTCTCCCTCCCTGGCTGTCAAAATTCAGCTGTTTCAGGAGCCAATCTTTCGAAGGAGGCATCAGGCCTCTTATTTCTGTCTTTTCCTCGAACTGGGCCCAACCAAAACCAAAACAAGGCGCAAGATGCCAACAACCTGGAGCACTCTGGCCTGCTGAAAAGCCATTGTGTTTGATTCTTTTGCCAGGGCTTAGACATGAGCTGCACGGGGCTGTAATCTAGCATGCCTTTCCTTGGAAGGAAGCCTCATGGGGCTCAGTAGAGCTTCTGAATAGGAATGCACAAACACCAGGCCATAAAAAGTTCAGGAGTTTCATCAGGTTCTAGAACTTTTGCCTCTGTTGTGGGTTCGGAATGAGAACACTGCCTGAAAAAGGTATTACACAGTTGTTGGTTTGTTTGTTTGTTTGTTTTTTTTGGGGGGGGGGGAGTGCTTAGTATTCACAGTCCTAAATGTATGGGTTGCTGTGAGTTTTCCGGAGTGTAGTCTTCAACCTCTGAGGATGCCTGTTGTAGATGTGGGTGAAACATCAGGACAGAATACTTCTGGAACATGGCCACACAGCCTAGAAAACCACAGCAACCGATTGATTCCAGCCATGAAAGCCTTCGACAGCACAGTCCTAATGTATCCCCTTGTTTAGATAAATTAAATCTATTTGGGGAGAGAGATGCTGTGTGCAGGTAAGTTCTATCTTCCCCCAGTTTGAGATTTCAGGGCAAAATGACCTAGAGAAATTGAAGTTCAGAAAACATAGTTCCCAAGTGAATTCTGGGCCTGGTGTTTTCGTTGCATCCTTGTAGAATGAATGCATCTACACTATAGAACAAATGCAGTTTGACATCACTTGAGCTGCCATGGCTGAATGATCTGGAATCCTGGGAGTGGTCATTTTATGCAACCTTTCCCCTCCTCTGCCAAAGAAGACCAGCACATTACCAAACTACAACTCCTGGTATTCTTTCGCATTGAGCCAGGGCAGTGAAAAAGGTCTGCGTTAATTCGACAGAACATGCACCCTATGATGGCATTCAGGATTTCAAACTTCCCTGATCCAGAGGGAGAGACATAAACAGAAGCACCTGGCATAGACATTACTTATTTGTTGAAAGGGAGTACATTTCAGCTGCCAGAATTTATGGGGCCTTCCTTGACCTTGGAGGAGCTAACTGCTGGTGTTATCCTTCTCGGCCCTCTTACTTCCCTAAAGGAAGCAGGGAGGGGCATATGTGACAAGCCAAAACACCCAGCTCATTAATGGCTCCCTCACCTTTGGGGGTGCTTTAATTTTGGTGTTAGGTTGTGTGTTCTGTCGGAACTGTCTCATTCTGATTTGTGTTTTATCCAGTGGGGTGGTGTATCCTTGCAGAGCATCTATTGGCATAACCAAACCAAAAAAGGATTGTCCCTCCAAAGCCTTGAGGAACACTCTTGTGTTGAGCCTTCCAAAGATGGGGAGTCACCAGAATACTCTTGGAGGCATGTCTTATAGTCTTAACAGGTTCCATAAAAGACCAGAATTGAAGGTTATGGATTCATAAAAGGAAACCTGGCAACCAATGCATTGACTCTAGGGTTCGATGTTGTGCCAGACTCCTCTCAGTTAGAATTTATGTTAAATGCGCTCATAAGAGAAACAGGACTCTTTCTGCAAAGAGCAAATGATACTTGTGGGAGACATAAATACGGTCTTTGACAGAAACCTGGATGGGTCTCCTCCTGCCCCTAAACCTCACAAAACCAGGCAGAGATTATTTGAATGACCTCACCAGAATGGACTAATTGATATCTGGACAGATAGAAATCCACTGACAAAATATATTTTAGGTTATTCTTGAACTAGACCACATTTTCACTTCCAAGTTGTTTCAACCTTCTTTGAAGTGTCTATTAATCAGATCCGAGTTTCAGCTCATGTTTCCAACATCCATCCCATTTCATTCACAATAATTAAAGATTGAATAAACATTGAATAGTTTTTGGAATTCAGGGGTGTGGCCTTCATTGGGAAACTAATTGAAAGGGATGATCAAGCAAGATTTATTCTTAGAAACATGGTGTCTTCTTATTACCTACCTGCAACCATGGCTCGCCAAGCAGCATTTGCCAAATACACAACCTTTTTTCTGGAAAGATAGGACAATCGGAAGGCTACTAGTTTAGTAACCCTTGGAAACTGATGTTTCTCATTCCAATGGATCAACATATAGAGCAGGATGAGCATCCAGGAGTCACAAAACACGTATTGAAATTAGGACCAGGATAAACAGGCTGCGCATGTTGTTTTGCTTGGCTTGTTTTGGTCCTGCTCTTCTTGTTTCTAAAGTTAGATATGTGATTCAAAAGGCAGGAAGCACTGGACACATACGGACCGCCATCATGACAACTAAACTCGGCTGAAGAGATATGGTGGCTTTGCCACCAAGATCCTTCCTTTATGGGAGACCACATTTCCTTTTGCCTTGAGGCTTTTCTAGACAATCTTCATGGCCTCCTGCGTCTTTAGACCTGTTTCCCTCCTTCCTTCCATAAACAGGACAGGTGGGCATCTTGGGTACGGGCAAGACCCAGGGGCGCCTCAGCCTCACAGGGTCTTAGGAAACAGTTAAAATTCCCACCATCCCTTTGGCTTGGCCATTTCTTAAAGGTCCAAGAAATCACTGCAAGGAGACTAAACTCAAACTAGTGTATATATACATGGGTTTTGTTTTTTTTTTTGTAAATCTCCATGCATGTTCACTTATTTTAGGGTCTTTTCCCCTAGTCTTCTCCGGATGAGTTGGACTAGAACTTTCCTTAGCCCCAACCAGTCTCACTGAAGTTTTAGTTCAACACATTTGGAGGATACCACGTTGAAAAGTGTTATTCCAGGGTAGTGGTGTTGGCACATCAGCAGTGGTAGTAGATTCTGGAATAGTAGTCCAAAATCTTTCAGGGATTCATAGCTGGGAAACACTGCTTCCCAAAATCCACCTTAGCTATGTGAATGAGCTAATGATTCCATCATATGGGATCGAGTCATTCTCTGAATAAACTCCTGCACCCCTAGGAGTGGATATGCTAGTCAAATTTTGAAAACCTGCACCCCAGAATCAACCTTT